CTTCATCGATCAAAAGCAGTGCGAAAAATGCCACACGCCATCTGTTGAGGACGGGGAAAATCACTAAAACCAAACTTGATCATTTGATTGGCTGACATCAAGACTGTTAAGTAACTGCAAATTATGCGAGACAAGATTTGCGACTTTAATGTTATTGACCTCAGAGAAAAAGTATGGAAAGTTGGTCACTTTCCGTATGATTTTCGGAATTCACAGGTTGACATACAAACAGAGGAAAACTGGCGAAGAATGTCTAGCGCATAGGATGTCTCTGCTTGTGGCGGGAACCCTGGCTTGACTTCTTAAAACTACTGAATAATCTAAACAAATATATATTATTTTCACTGTACGGATTCTTGTGGCTCATTTGCCTCAGGTGGGTCAGTTGTATCGAGTGGTTCATTGGCTTCGTTTGTATCGAGTGGTTCATTGGCTTCGTTTGTATCGAGTGGTTCNCTTGACTTCTTAAAACTACTGAATAATCTAAACAAATATATATTATTTTCACTGTACGGATTCTTGTGGCTCATTTGCCTCAGGTGGGTCAGTTGTATCGAGTGGTTCATTGGCTTCGTTTGTATCGAGTGGTTCATTGGCTTCGTTTGTATCGAGTGGTTCATCGGCTTCGTTTGTATCGAGGGGTTCGTTTGTTTCGTTGTCTTCAGGTGGCTCACTTACTTCGGGGTGATCCTGAAAACCAAACAAACAGAAATAGGACGTGATGAATCCACTACACAACATACCATTAGCTCGTCTGTTGTTTAAATTTTCATTAGTAGAAGTATGAAGAGAAAATTCCCAAAACCTTTGCCGCATTGACCAGGCTCTTATGAGGCGCGTGGCGAAAAAAATTTCAAAAATCATTTGCAGCTCAAACGTTTCCAAATACCTTAGCTCTACTAACTAATCTGTACTATACTGAATTATCTATCAATTTAACATTTAATACACTGTAGTGAGAACGCAACTGAACGGCTGTTAACACTGAATAAAGAATTTGTTGTAAGACGCACCTTTTATACGACGCTTTAACTTCTGAAACGAGGACTCCGACTTGACAAATGTACCTTCTTTCTGAGTTACCTATCACATTTAACTTGTGTCGTTAAAACTGAACTAATAGCCTATGCTAACTATTCTGTACTACACTACATCACCCTCCCCTCCCTCTTTACAAACTCCCTACGGACCCTTCTCTACCCTATCCTTAGTAACGTCTTTCATCCTCCACTGACTTCTCTTAGAAAAGGTAAACCTATCACTATTTCATTCAACTTTGTTTGTCAACTTTTCTCTCATAACAATTCACCTTCATTATTGTTACATTTTTCTAGGGTTCCCTGAGTAAATTTTATGTATGCTCCCTTGCAACCTCTGTGCAAGCTCCCATCAGTACTTACGACCCGTTAGCTTGGCGCGAAAAACGACGGCCGGCCAAGGCGACTATATAAACTGAACTGTAGTTCGGACTGTGCAATTTTCATTGCCAAATTGATCGAAAATACATTGAATATTTGTACTTGTCTAAGTATTTGGTTTCGTAGATTTAGCACTACCTTTCAGTACCGATATTTAACCTTTGTACCGTTACAATTGCAGCGAATACACACCATAGTCGAATATTGAAGTGAAAGTGTAAAAATGTTATCGGACGAAGTCTCTGGCCCCGTTTATATGTCCGTACAACACAGCGCGGACGACATCCTTCACTACCTTACTTTCCATTGTAAATTTACCACAACTTACAAATTAGTCTACAATAAAGGCGTTGTTCTTTCCATGGTGAGAGGAATATGCATAAAATCTAGCATTGATATGTAAAATGGAAGCTTCATGTTTGACATTTGAGTTGGCTAACATGTATTCACTTTATCAAAACAGACAGACAGACACAATGAAGCATGATTAAAGTTAAAGCTCAGTAGCTTATGGCGTCGTGCATAAATAACAACAAACCCATAATTTCAACACAATATTAAGACCTACCTGCTCACTGTCTTCTCCTTTAGCTTCCTTATTCTCCTCAATTTCTTCTTCTTGTACTTCTTCACCTTCATTGTTGTTAACCTCCTCGTCAGCATTCGCTCTGTTTTCATTGTCTTCGGCTTCATTGTTGTCAACCTCTTCCTCAGCATTGTCTCTGTTTTCGTTGCCTTCAGCTTCAATTTCTTCATCCGCCACCTCTTCAGCTGGCATTTGATCAATAGGTTTGTCCTCTTCAGTTTCTTTAACAGATATCAACAAGAATGTTAAAGTGTGCTTTGCCTATCAGCTTCCACAGCAAATAATATCCATTGATATGGTGCCATATTTTTATCAAAAGAACGGCATCTAGAGGAACGTTTTTCTTATGATAGAAGTTCAAATAGTTCTGCCTGGCTGAAAAACCAGTTGCCCTCGTGTTGAAAATGTCAATGAAGCCCCTGAGTTAAACATTGAATACTGATTGTTGTCCATAATTTATACATTGTAATGTGCATGTTATTTGTGCACTTCAGTAATTACTTCTGCTGAGGACTAGAGATTTATTTTTGTATTGTTTTCTCTACAGACATGTTTACATGCCTTAAACAAGAGCACAACACTTAATTCAACTCACCTTTGTCATCTTGGATTTCTGTCGCGTCTTCTTTGTTCTCACCACTAGCTTCATACACAGATGGCTGCACTGTTAAATGAGTGAAACCGTAAGTTGTCACCACCTTCTATGCTCCTTTCATATATGATATCTACTAATCCACTACACATTTTTATCGCTTATTTACTAGTAATGTTTATGCTTCCTGTACAATACAGCTGTGAGTTGTTTTCAAGCCCAGTGCATCACATGGGGATATTCTTTGTTACCTTTCTTGGATGAAACTTACGGTTTTACTCTCTATGCCCCTTCCCTGGAATTCACTGATTGTCCTTTAAAAAAAACACCAAGGTTGTGGACCAGTGACAACACTGTAGCACCATATTCATAGCGCTCAGAACACCCTACATGTACATACTGACAAGGCATAATTCATATCAAATATAAACGGCTTACATGTAGATTCAAGCCTCTACTTTACATACCATCAGCTGAACTGTTTCGTCTCTCCTCATATGACTTATCTTCTTTGTCATCAACAAGCCCTCCTAGTGTAACACCATGATCTCCAAGAACATCAGCAACCTTTTCTTGTATAGTGTCCTCAAGTGGTATGTCTTCAATGTCAGATTGATGTGGTGAGTTGCTTCTTTCTGCAGCATAAGCTCCCTGTGGTTCATCGTCATCTCTCAGCGACTCTGTGACTGTTTCTTTGAATGAATCAAACAATGACTGTGGTTCTTCTTCCTTGACAGGTTCAGGAGATGAATTTATGTCCCTAAAATCCCTTCTGGTAATGTCTGCTTCCAAACTGGTGATCTGATGAATATATATAGAAAACATGGTTAGTTTATTCTTCCAGAAGTCCTTCTATTTTGACAAAATTCTAGACGTAAGGCCTCACAAACAAAACGGCCAAATTTGAGAGCTGAAATTCCTGTCTTCTAAGAAATCTTTTATCCCTTGCAAAACCATTAAACTGCACAGAAAAATTAAAGTTCAACTTCCAAAAAATTATAATGATAATAAAGAATGCAGTTCAACTTATGCTAATGGTGAAGTTTTGAGGACAGAAACAAAAGCAAAAGAAACAATAACCACTCTTGTTAAATTTCCTTAACATGTCAGTTCCTCTAGTCATTATGGCTGTAAACAAAACAAATGCAACACAACATTTGGCACAAAAGGGGCACAACACTCCACGATCAACATCCCTGACAAACGACTGTCATTGCACAATGATACAGCCTTGCTTTTCTCTGCAGTGCACGGATATGCACAGGACAAGTTGTGGACTGGTCAAAGACTTACAAAGATGACTGAACAGCATTAAAGAAGGCAGCCTGGTTGAGTGGTTTAGAGCAATGGTCTTGTAATCCAGAGGTCCCAATTCAGGTCATCCACCCTCCCCGCCCCCCCTCCCCCCTCCCTACCACTAGCTGGATTTGTTCTTGGTAGTGTACTTTTTTGTGCCATGTGACACACACAGACATATTTTAAGCATAACATTTGAAAACTATGTCACATCTTTTTTGCTCTTAACCACTAAGAACAATTCACTTACTGGCTCATCATTATCAGCAACAAGAGACTTTTTCTTAGATGTCCTTTTTGCCGCACCTCTCTGATAAGGCAATATTGACATTAGATATCAATTTAATTAGATATTTTATTTATTTATTTTTAATGCTCCAACTTAACTTCAACTTTGATTTATTTAGTACTTAATATAGCACATTGTGCCAAACTGTTCATTTTCATTAATTTTCATAACAACTGTATGTTGTACTAGAACAACTGTAAATAACTAACAACCATAATCTGCCATCTAGCAGATAAGCACTGACCACAAAAAAACTGTCATCCACTAGATGGTGGTTTATCTGGTTGATAACTTGTTATCCATTTTGTAGTACAGTATGTACAACTATGGGACCAGAGTAACAATCTTACTGTTTAAAAAATAAAAATTGTAATAATACTGAAATTATCTTGAGCTTACATGTTTCGCAGGAGGTCTTCTTTCTGTCACTTTTGGCTTTGTTGAAGCTCTGTAACAACAAAAAACAATCTTATTAATCACAATTTGACTACGAGACAGTAATCAACAAGAGATTACTACAAAAGGGGTTTGAGTGAAATCCACACCCCTCCTGTGGCTTTTTTTGTTTTGCCTGGACAACCACTTCCCCCCACCCCTCTGAAGTTTCAACCAAAGGGTACTTGATAACTTTTAGTCCTCCCCCCTCAAATCTCTAGAATTTAGATATTCAAGTCTTTTAAATCTGTATATATATGTATTTTAAAAATTTTGACATGCTATATAGAACATGGAAGATACTTTAGTTCATCAGTTTTTGTACCGCTAATCGTTAATCAAACACACTTTGAAAAAGGCTACATGATTGACTGTTCTAATTTCAGCATCCATTTAATGAATATTTCACATACTTTGATCAGTAATTTTTGCTTGCTAAAAGTATTAACGTTAGTTTGTATCACATGCCATGAGGGTGGAAACAAGTGACAAGTGTAAATAGGAGGTATATTTAATTTTAAAGGTCAGTCACCTTCTTGGAGTAAGCTGAGCAGCTACTCCATGGTCACTGTATGAAACACTTCTATCAAAGCTGAAAAAAGAGGAAGACATAGTAATTGGTCACAAACCTTACAACATCATTCAGCTGCTGATCGTAACTTGTAATTAATAGTTAATTATCACGTAATTAATAAATAATGATAATTTATTTATTATTATTAGAGAGGTTTGATATTTTTCATCTTTTTGTTTGTTTAAAATTAGATTGCTACACTAAACTTAATTTTATGTATCATTATATTCGTACTATCTCTCTCTCCCCACAGCAACATATTGCCCGTTGTCGTCAAGGTCGGATGGTTCACTTATCTTGTGTCCGTCTAGGGTATATAAACTGCAACAAAAAAGCATGTGCACTTGTGTAAGATCAGATTGGAAATAAGTCATTTTTTCTAAGAAAAAAGTTCTATACATGTACAATACCAATCAGAGGAAACCTAACAGGGAACGCATTTGTGAATGGGTATAGAACGGAAACAGAACGCGTTCTGTCAAGCGTTCCCTGTTTGGTTTCTTCTGATCAGTACTGTACCTCCAAATTGAACCAAACATCAAATATTCAAAACAAAAAGAAAGATTCAACAACGGAAAAAACACAAAAGAGATAAAATTATTAACAATAAAGAACACAACTAAAATGGCTATGATTCCCGGGAGTTACACCCAGAAAAATTGGGTGAAGGTGTGCAGGCCGCTTTCCAAA